GTTTAGTGAATAACTCTAACAGTGGCATAATAACCAATAATGGTTTTACTCAATAACACTTCTCCAGATATTCTACTTCCTGGCTGCAGAATAAGGTTTGGAGTAGACGTACTATCAAAACATTTTATTACTTTAGGGTATACAACCGGCATATCAAGTTAACTAAAAGAGAAAACCCACTCAATTTTGGCAGCTCTTTGCTTTCATGATTCATTGCTGCTAACTGTTTTTTGGAAACATTTTCTGCATCTCAACCTGTAAATGTATAATTTTATGGTATTAGCCTTTAATTTGCTGTTTTCAATTTTTAGGTCTCTAATTTGGAAGCTGTATTTTAATATTATATATATATATATATATATATATATATATATAAACATTTAATTTTCTCCACAAATGCCTTCTAATCAATGTATGCATTTAATCTCTCTTTAATGTTTCTTAAACGCAAACATTTTAATTTTATTGTTATTATTATTACATCCAACACTATTTAGATTGTTACTTTGAATGCATTTCTTTGAAAACAAACTGTAAATGTTTGATGTCTTGAAAATATGAATCTTAAATCCTTTAAATTTTTGTGTTTCAAAAGAAAGGGAAATGTTTATTACAATATTTATAAGAAAAGTAAAAATGCTTTGTATGAAATACATATTTCTGAATACATTGACAGTCTAATTCACACTCTGCTTTAAGAATACTTCAATGTAATTTTAAATCCATTATAGTTCTATATATAGAAACATAGAAACATAGAAACATAGAATGTGAAGGCACATAAGAACCATTCGGCCCATCTAGTCTGCCCAATTGTCTAAATACTTTCATTAGTCCCTAGCCTTATCTTATAGTTAGGATAGCCTTATACCTATCCCACGCATGCTTAACCCCTTAAGGACCGAGGACGGTTCAGGACCGTCATCGGCATTTTCCCATTGCCGACCGCTGTTACTTACCTGATCGCCGTCGTTCCCTTGGCAACGATCAGCGTTGCTCCCGGTGTGGGGAGACTGCCTGCAGCCCAGACAGTCTCCCCACACTGGATTAGGACCCCTGTGGCCATGTGATCGCTCAACACAGCAATCACATGGTCACAATAGGTGTCCATGTGTCTGCCTGCAGGGGGACTGTCTGTACTGACTAATAAAGTTAGTGTTAATAAAAAAATAAAAAAATGATATATGTGTATATAAATATGATATATAGACATATAATATATATATATATATATATAATATATGTCTAAATATCATATATATAATGTCATACTAAGTGTATTTTTATATTCATATGTACTTATATTAATATAAAAATACACTTATAATTAAATTACACACGTATATATATAATATATAACTATATATATTGTGTATATATATATTATTATAAAATATAAATAATAAGTAATTTTAATTGAATTTAATTTTTTTTAAATAATAAAAATTGAAAAAAATTATATCTATATGAAATTTTATTCTAACTGTATTTTAAAATTTATATATATATATATATATATATATATATATATATATATATATCAAAATACACTTAGAATGAATTTGTATATATATCTATGTATATATAAATAAATAAAAATAATACAAATATACATATGTCCATATACAAAATTATATAAATATACACGTAGACTTCAAATATATAAATATGCATATATATTTAAATTCTACGTGTGTATTTATGTAATATTTTTACATAATTAAGTAATTTTATTGATTGCAATTTGAGGGACCTGCCTGCCAACCCAGGCCGAAAGTCCAGAGAATTTAATTTGCTAGCACTGTATTTTACCCTGTAACGTTCTACGACACCCTAAAACCTGTACATGGGGGGTACTGTTTTACTCGGAGACTTAGCTGAACACAAATATTAGTGATTCAAAACAGTAAAACATATCACAGCGATGATATTGTCAGTGAAAGTGACTTTTTTCACACACAAACAGCACTTTTACTGATGATATAATTGTTGTGATACGTTTTCCAGTTTTTAAACACTAATATTTGTGTTTAGCGATGTCTCCCGCGTAAAATAGTACCCCCCATGTACAGGTTTTATAGCATTTTTGAAAGTTACAGGGTCAAATATATGGGTCAAATATTTTTACAGATTTGTAGATTAATAAAAAAAAAATTCAAGTAAAAGTAAAAAAATATGTATTTTTTTCAAATTTTCATTATATTTTTTTATTTTTTTTAAATTAAAATACATGAGATTATATAAATAATGGTATGTAAAGAAAGCCCCTTTTGTCCTGAAAAAAACAATATATAATTTGTATGGGAACAGTAAATGAGAGAGCGGAAAATTACAGCCAAACACAAACACCACAAAAGTGTAAAAATATGCCTGGTCGCAAATGTACATCGCAAAAACAGTCCAGTCCTTAAGGGGTTAAACTCCTTTACTGTGTTGACATCTACCACTTCAGCTGGAAGGCTATTCCATGCATCCACTACCCTCTCAATAAAGTAATACTTCCTGATATTATTTTTAAACCTTTGTCCCTCTAATTTAAGACTATGTCCTCTTGTTGTGGTAGTTTTTCTTCTTTTAAATATAGTCTCCTCCTTTACTGTGTTGATTCCCTTTATATATTTAAATGTTTCTATCATATCCCCCCATCTCATCTTTCCTCCAAGCTATAAATGTTAAGATCCTTCAATCTTTCCTGGTAAGTTTTATTCTGCAATCCATGAACCAGTTTAGTAGCCCTTCTCTGAACCCTCTCTTAGGTATCAATATCCTTCTGAAGATACGGTCTCCAGTACTGTGTACAATACTCCAAGTTAGGTCTCACCAGTGTTCTGTCCTCTTCTCTCCCTCTCTCAGGATCTGTTCTTCATTTCTTCCATAGACAGAACATCGGCGAAACTACCGAATTTCTCCATTCGTGTTAGGACACAATTCGGGACTGAGCTCCGCAGGGCGGGGAAAGGTTTAGAAAGCCTTTTCACGCCTTGCAATTAAGCCGACAAATGTAGAGGTAATTCTCTACATTTACCTGTCACAGCACTCAGAGTGCTCTGTGTCATTTTACACAGCGTGGGAAAGTTCTTTGGAACTTTCTTTGGAACACAGTGCTGTGACCGGTAAATGAAGAGACTTCATGTAGAAACTAAGTGAGTAATTATATTTCTCACTTCTTTGTATTAATGGTACAATGCACTACTAGCGTAAATGGACACTAGTCTCAAGACATTGAACAGACTTGATGTTACAGGCAAATAAAGATTCAACTCGAAGTGAAGAAAGATAGGGAAGTGGGAGTAAGGGAAAAAAGAGGAAAGGAAAAGAAGAACAAAACCTCTTTTTTTAAATTGAGTTATATTTGTCTGTAACCTCACTTAGTGTATTATGGTTTATTCTGTTGTAATGCTGGATTAAAGGACCACTATAGTGCCAGGAAAACACACTCGTTTTCCTGGCACTATAGTGCCCTGAGGGTGCCCCCACCCTCAGGGACCCCCTCCCGCCCAGCTCTGGAAAGGGGAAAAGGGGTTAAACTTACCTTTTTCCAGCGCTGGGCAGAGAGCTCTCCTCCTCCGTTCCTCCTCCTGGGCTGAATGCGCACGCGCGGCAAGAGCTGCGCGCACATTCGGCCGGTCACATAGGAAAGCATTGATAATGCTTTCCTATGGACGCTTGCGTGCTCTCACTGTGAAAATCACAGTGAGAAGCACGCAAGCGCCTCTAGTGTCTGTCAATGAGACAGCCACTAGAGGATTAGGGGGAAGGCTTAACCCATTCACAAACATAGCAGTTTCTCTCAAACTGCTATGTTTATGAAAAAATGGGTTAACCCTAGCTGGACCTGGCACCCAGACCACTTCATTAAGCTGAAGTGGTCTGGGTGCCTAGAGTGGTCCTTTAACTATATACCTATAGATTTTAGAAATGCTATTTACACAGAGTATGTGATTATTATTATTAAAAATTATTAAAATAACATTTATTTCTTATATGGGATGTATAGCTAACACATAAACATATAATAAAACAGCAGTTTTGTGTATAGAATGCATTTAGTTAGCATTTTAAATAATATGTAGGAGGAAGTACACTGACCTCTCTGTAATGTGGATTAGTTACAAAATTAACACATTATGAATTCAGTTTGATTATTATGCAGAGTGGCAGAATATGTTAGTGCATTAAAAAAAGTAATAATAGTTGTCCAAAGACACAGAAAAGCCCACGCAAGAAGAAACACGGCAGTATTCAAAGGCAGCGTAGTTCTATTAATCTTAATGCTAGAGTGTCTAGTTCACATTAAAAACTCAGTAATGATGTATAGGACACTGAACATATCAAGAAGAAGCAGAAGCCTCTCCTATTTATTCACGGTCAATGACTGTCATCAACATCTAATATCAAATACATTTTTGGCTCATAACTAGAGTTGAGCGGACACCTGGTTGTTCGGGTTTGCCGAGTTCGGGCGAACTTCGTCAAAAGTTTGAGTTCGGGTTCGAACTTGACCTGAACTTGACCCAGAACCCCATTGAAGTCAATGGGTACCCGAACTTTTGGGCACTAAAATGCCTCTAAAAAAGTCCTGGAAAGGGCTAGAGGGCTGCAAAAGGAAGTAAAATGGGGGTAAGAGTAGTACAAGTGCCCTGCAAACAAATGTGGATAGGGAAATCACTTAAAATAACATAAAATACATAAAATTAAAAATACAGCTGAGCAGTAGGGGTCTCTAAGGAAGGTAATGGCCACGAGAACTTCCACTGGGACAAGGGACTGCTATATAGGGTCACAGGGGGAGTGGGACAGGGGGCAGCCCAAGTTATAAAAAGGCAGTTAGTCATGCCCCGTAAATACCGGGCGGAGCTGCTAAAGCTCAGCCATGATATCCCGCTGGCAGGGCATCTGGGTATCAAGAAAACTAAGGACCGTCTTACCCAGACGTTCTTCTGGCCGGGGATATCCAAAGATCTGCAGACTTACTGCAGGACATGTGACACATGTCAAAGGATAGGGAAGAGGGGGGACCACCCTAAGGCCAAGTTAAGGTCCCTACCTATAATAGAGGAACCATTCTACAGAGTGGCAGTAGATCTGATAGGGCCTCTCAGCAAACCCAGCTCCTCCGGGAAGCGCTACATCCTCACAGTGGTGGATTACGCCACCCGGTACCCTGAGGCTGTAGCGCTCTCCAATATTGAGGCAGAGACAGTAGCAGAGGCTCTAGTCAGGATCTTTTCCCGGGTAGGGTTTCCTCGAGAAATACTCTCAGATCAGGGAACCCAGTTCATGGCAACTGTAATGCAACAGTTGTGGCAGAGCTGCGGAGTAAAGCCGTTATTTAGCTCCCCTTACCACCCCCAGACTAACGGTCTCTGCGAACGCTTCAATGGCACGTTTAAGCAAATGCTCACTGCATTCACAGAGTCCTATGGTCAATGGGAGAAGTTTTTACCTCATCTCCTATTTGCCTACCGAGAAGTGCCTCAGGCGTCCACTGGGTTCTCCCCCTTCGAACTCCTATACGGGAGAAAAGTCCGGGGACCCCTGGACCTCATAAGGGAACACTGGGAGGGCAACACAGGAGAGGAGGGGATCCCGGTTTTGCCATACATGCTGGAGTTACGGGACCGCTTGCAGGCCCTAGCCGAATCAGTTCGGGAGAACCTGCAGGCGGCTCAGAAGCGTCAGAAACAATGGTATGATCGGGGAGCCCGAGACAGGAACCTGGAGGTAGGGCAAAAGGTACTAGCCCTCAGACCCTCCAAGAAGGACAAGCTCCAGGTAGCTTGGCAGGGGCTATTTAAGGTGGTGGAACGAATCAGCGACACCACCTATATTGTGGCTAAATGTTCCGATGAAAGGGTCAGATGGACCTTTCATGTGAACATGTTGAAGCCGTACTTCGAACGCTCTGAGGACGTGGCCGCCATCTGTGCCCCGTCTTCTGACGACAGTGAAGGGCTCCCCTTGCCCGACCTGCTGGCAGTAAACCAAGGTACCTTAGAACAGGTCGGGTTGGGAGAGAAATTAGACACCTCTCAGCAGGCAGACGCAAAACAACTGCTGCGGGAATACGAGGAGCTGTTCTCGGTCCTACCCGGGTACACCTCCGCCGCAGTACATCGGGTGGAGACACAGGGGGAGACCCCCTTACGGCAGCAGCCGTATCGTATTCCGACAGCAGTGCGGACTAGCATGTGGAAGGAAATTCAAGAGATGTTAGAGCTAGGGGTTATTGAGGCTTCCCAAAGTCCCTGGGCGTCTCCGGTGGTTCTAGTACCTAAGCGAGACGGTACGAGACGGAATGCAAGACTTCGCATGTGCCTATCTAGATGATATTGCCATGTATAGCAGCACATGGAAGTCACACCTGTCGCACTTGGCTACGGTATTTGGGAGGTTGCTGGAAGCCGGCCTCACCCTGAAACCCAAGAAATGCCATATGGGCATGGCCGAGGTCCAATACCTAGGGCATAGAGTAGGGTCTGGGAAACAGCGCCCCGAACCCGCTAAAGTAGAGGCCATCGCAAATTGGCCCCAGCCCCGCACCAAGATGCAGGTAATGGCCTTCCTAGGTACCGCAGGGTATTATAGAAAGTTCGTCACTGAGTACAGCACCCTAGCCAAACCCCTTACCGACCTGACCAAAAAGGCCCTACCTAAGCAGGTCGCGTGGTCCCCAAAGTGTGCAACAGCGCTCCAGAGATTTAAAACAGCTTTGAGCGAAGCTCCAGTACTTGCGGCCCCAGACCCTAACAAAACATTTCTAGTCCACACAGATGCCTCCATGTTTGGGCTGGGAGCCGTGCTGAGCCAGGTAGGGGAAGACGGCATGGAGCACCCGGTGGCATATCTCAGTCGCAAGTTGCTACCTTGGGAGGTCAGCTATGCCACCGTGGAAAAAGAATGCTTGGCGCTAGTTTGAGCATTAAAGAAACTGCAACCGTATCTTTATGGCCATGCGTTTACCCTACTGACTGACCACAACCCCCTCATTTGGCTCAACTGAGTCTCTGGAGACAACCCCCGGTTGCTACGCTGGAGTTTGGCGTTGCAGCCCTACAATTTTACGCTGCAATATCGTCCGGGCAAGCAGAATGGCAATGCGGATGGGCTTTTCCGTCAAACGGACTTGGACGTTTAACTATGCTACCCGGACATCCCCTAGCCAACCCGGCAGGATCCAGGTGGGTATGCCAACCCATGGAACTAAGGGGGAGTAATGTGAAGAAAATTGACTTTTACCTGTCATGTTCTCCTTTTTATTCGGTATTTTTATGTGTTATTACTTGTATAGTGAATGGATTGGTTCGGTAGTTTGAAACTACCGAACGCCGACCACCCTCCTGGCTCATTTACTTCAAAGGAACCAGCTATTAACTGCTCCCTGGGCGGCCGCTGTTCGTATAACCGAACGCCACGTGGAAAAGAAAACGGCGGCCATCTTGTTCGCACGAGGAGAGCCAGCGGGATTTGGTCGTCGAGTGTCTGGAACTAAAATCGGACACTCGACCTCGCGAACTACCGCTGAAAACTACCGAACGCCGGCTTCTCATATTTGCTGAACAGCCAGGAAAGCCTCATTCGGTAGTTCTTGGCAAAAGGACAAGGGGAGCAATCGCTACTATGGGCCAGGGGGATCCATTCGGGACTTTTGTTCATTTTTTACAGTTTTGTGAATTGACCGACCGCACACGCTGAATTCGTGGAACTGTTTTGGGCAGGAGCTGCGTGTGTGGTCGATAAAAAGGACCCTCCATACTTTTTCAGAACCCCTGAACCGATCTGGGTGAAATTTGGATATGTTTGTCCCCCAGATCGGGGCAATCAGGGGATATGTAATTTGTGGGGATACCTTGTGTTCTAAGTTTTGGGGAAATTGTGTGCTCTTTGCCTGGAGATAATTGGTTTATTCCTTAACTTATCTCAATATCTCCCAGGCAGAGAGGAGGCGTGTATTACTGTAAAACTGTGTGTTGATTGGTTATTGTCTTTGTTTGCTGTGGGAGGTCCTCTTGCGGGAGGATTTCTCATAAAAGCCCGTGTATTGTCAATAAAATTCATTCCTGCATGAAGTCTAGGCTCATGTTTGGGGGATATTCTACTTGCTGGGGAGAATCACCTTGGAACTACATTTCATCTATCTTATTCCTCTACTCCATGCAGCAGCTATAATCACTCAAGCTCAGCTGTTGGAAGAGGGAACCAAAGACCGCAGCACCATAACCACTGCAGGTCTTAACATATAACAATGGCTGGGTGAGGCCTATTCTGCACAAGGTACCGACATGTCTGGTATGATCCATGCTTGGTTTATTTTAATAAACATGAGCTTCTCCACGTTGGCTGTGGACAGGCGGCTGCGCTTATCTGTGATAACGTCCCCACTGTGCAGGGCAGGCCAGCACCTCCATGGCATAAAGGGCAAGCTCAGGACATGTGCCCAATTTGGAGACCCAAAAGTTGAATGGGGCAGACCATCAGTCAGTACGTGTAGGTGTGTACCGTTCCACCATGTTGCTGAAATGCTGCCTCCTGCTAAGACGTTCCATATCAGCTGGTGGTGCTGGTTGTTGTGGCGTGCTGACAAAGCTTTTCTACATTTTGGCCATGCTAACCCTGCCTTGTGAGGTGCTAGCGGTGCCCCAGCTGCGTTGGCGACCTCTTCCTCCTCCTTTGCCTTGTGCTTCCACTGAGCCCCCGGTGTCAGTTGGGAATGCCCTCACTAGTGCTCCAGTGAGGGAATTAAGGAGGGCACGTTGTCCTTGTAACGGGGATCCAGCAGGGTGGCCACCCAGTAATCCTCACAAGTTAGAATATGGGCAACACGGCAGTCGTTGCGGAGGCACTTTGGTGACTCTAGATAACCTCGGGCCGATCGCACATCCCCGTGACGGAGACGACGAATTCGGATGTCTGCCCTATCAACTTTCTATGGTACTTTCTGTGCCTACCATGGTGACCACGGGTAATGCGAAATCAGGGTTCGATTCCAGAGAGGGAGCCTGAGAAACGGCTACCACATCCAAGGAAGGCAGCAGGCGCGCAAATTACCCATTCCGACGTGGGGAGGTAGTGATGAACAATAACAATACAGGACTCTTTTGAAGCCCTGTAATTGGAATGAGTACACTTTAAATCCTTTAACGAGGATCTATTAGAGGGCAAGTCTGGTGCAGAGCGACTGACCCGTGCATGCTGCAGCTGAAACTCCACTATTGCCTGCTGCTGCTCACACAGTCTCTCCAGCATGTGCAAGGTGGAGATCCACCTTGTGGGCACGTTGGATATGAGGCAGTGAACGGGAAGGCCGAGGTTACACTGCAGCGCAGACAGGCGAGCAGCAGCAAGGTGAGAACGCGAAAGCGTGCACAGCCGCTATAGTGAAACTGCGAATGGCTCATTAAATCAGTTATGGTTCCTTTGATCGCTCCATCTGTTACTTGGATAACTGTGGTAATTCTAGAGCTAATACATGCCGACGAACGCTAGGGGACAGCCGCTCCGCTTTTGCACCCTGCTTCCTCTTATGCTGTGCTGGTGCCTCTGTTCGACCACCGCCTCTTCCTCCAAACTGCACACGTCACTCGCATGACCTTCATTCCATGTGGGGTCTAGGACCTCATCATCCTCCACATCATCTTCCACCCACTCCTTAACCCTGCTCTCCTTGCCGGTCTGCAAACTGCAGAAAGCCACAGCAGTTGGCACCTGTGTTTTTCCAGCATGTAAAGTCTGCAAAGGACATATGGAAATTGTTTTAGAATTGTATCCAGGCAACAGTTTTCCCTATAAACTGACCTCTCAGTTTGACTTGTGAGGGTATTACCCCAGAATTACAATATTGTTTAAGTACCTCTTAGCTATTGATAACTGGTTTAAATATAGCAGCTTGTTATCTTGTAGTTTCTCGTGTAGAAAATATCAATCTGTTTTCTATCACTTAGATCTGTTTAACAAGTGTTGTAGGTGTGAAACAATATTACAAGTGACCGATGTAGTAAATTCGAATCAAAGTTCCATTTGCAAAAAATTATTCTCGCCCATCCTCTGTGGGTTATTGCATTTTTAAGATGTAGACTTATTGTATCACACTAGCCATGCACAGGTAGATTGTCTGGCACGTTGTTTTGGTGTTTGGTTTTTAACTTGGTAGTTGTGTCTTTACACAATATTTATTTATTTATTTATAAAATATTTTACCAGGAAAGATACATTGAGATTTCTCTCGTTTTCAAGTATGTCCTGGGTCCACAAATCATTGCATTGTTAGATTAGGTACA